TTTTTTATTTTTGTGTAATTTGAAAATGACAAATTTTATAAATTAACCAAAAATTATCAAATTATGTTATATATTTAACATTACACAAAAATAAAATATATAATTTATATCATATTTTAAAAAAAATTTAAATTTAAATTGATAATGGTTAATTTATAAAATTTATCATTTTCAAATAAAATATAAAATTTATTTATTTTTAAAATTTTTATTTTTTGGTTAATTTAAAAATGATTAATAATAGAAATTAGGAAAATAATTTGAATTTGATTTTTTTAATAATTTTTAGGCTGACGAGGCAATGAAATGACGTATTGACTAACGGTCAACGGTGTTGACCATCCAAATTGACGGTCAAACCATGTGTCGGGCCAATTGAGTCTATATGTTGCATAGTTGAGGCTATGATGTTAATTTCTGAAACCACGAGTGTAGAGGGAATGATCAACCGTCTATACTTCGAGGAGTGGAAATGCTTGATTATTAGATCATCAATGCTATAGACCATCGATTATGGCTTAAGAGACCCACACTTAATCATATGTTATCCTAACTTCCTTTTTCTTCATTAATTTGGTAATGGCATGAAGCGAAAGCACACATTAGCTAATTAACCTCTATCGAAAGAGGCACACGCACGGGTAGAGAATGGTCTTAGTGGAAGGGATAAAGTGATGCTATAGTTGAGTCAATGATACATGATATGATTGAGCCTTAGTATGCATGATGCTATTCGAGATTCACTCTCTTATACAATAATATATCTTTTTACTTTGATGCATCTATAATTTGAAAACCCCCCCTAAACAACTTTGTTCTTCTTGCTTTACTTTTCATTACTTGTTCTTGACATAAAAGGAAGAATTAAGATGATAAATAACTTTGTAAATATGACTACTAGGTAATATGGCTCCATCAAAAGTCTCCAACCTAACTAATCCATGAGGGCTTCATTATTTCTCCAAATCGCTGAAAACCCATCTCCCTCCGATTTGCTAAGGCATAGCAACTTTCAGGGACCCAATGAATTCAACGTTCATCTCTTTATCCCCAACCAGAAATGAGCCAAATGTCTATTTAAATCCCTACATAGAGAGGCAAGAAATCCAAAATAGGACATCACATAAAATGAAAAAGAAGCGTATTGGCAACAACTTTTTTCTACACCTCTTTCACAGCCTAAGAGGGACATCATCTCTTCTAACCTAGTAACCTACTAATGAACCTTTACTCAACAAACAAAAAAATTCGAGATTAGACTAGCCAACAAGAGATGGTAGATGATCGATTCATTCCGTGCAGGTCATTGTCAGTAGTTTGCACGTATTAATAACTACCCAATTCTAGGCCAAGTTTAACCTATAATGGCGTTGTCATAGAGTGGCAATCAAGGTCGAATTCACTCGGGCCCCGGTACCCTAGTCTACTTCCCACGCTGTCGTTATCTAGCCGATCAGTTTAAGGGTTGTGTTGGAGGATTCAAATGAAATAACTAGTAGATAGAACAAACAATGATAAAACAGGTACATGGGAACTAATCCTCGCCCTAGCCTAGGTCTATCGTGCAAATGTCTAAACATGTTAGGTTAAGAGAATGCGGCGAGTGATCTCTTTTTAGTGGTCCTTCATGATTATCCACACGCCTTCGAGTACGCCCTACCTACTCCATTGTCACCTCGGTATAGCCTCACGTATCTGGGGATTTAAGAACCTAGCTCCTTTCAATGGGTACTACCCACCGTCCACACCGAGGTTTCATCCTGGGTTCCATCTAGGAATGTGTTCTTCTAGCAGGGGTTCGGTCGTCTCGTCCACAACAAGACCCTATTCATTCATCTAACCCTAATCTGCCAGATGTGAGATGACGCATACCCGTCTAACCCTAAAACTCTATTCCCAATGTAAAAGCTCAAGTAGGCTAGTAGAGAAGATTATGGCGATTCACCCAAGTATAATTAAACCTAGAAGAAGCATTAAAATCAACTAGACAAACACATTCATTCAAAAACCTAACATGTTCATTCATTACATAATATCCCTAAAACTAGGGTTTGGGGGTTAAAACCCCTAGTATCTTAAGAGACTACTCGATAAAGGAGGGAAGAAGACACATAAAAGAATTAGGGGAATGCTTGATGTTGAAGAAGATGGCTACTCTCCTCTACCTTCTCCTCTTGTCCTTCCTTTAGATTCCCTCTCTCCTCTCTCTCCCCTAACCAGAAATTTCTATTTGAAAATTTGCTCTCTTAAAATGGGGGAAGAGGTCCTCTATTTATACTTTAGGACGACGGACAAGTTCACGGCCGAGCAGAGGGAGTTCGCGGTCACGATCTTTCCCTTCGAGCCCGCGATCGTCAAGCATCGTCGTTTTGGTGTTCGTCTTCTGAGAGTTCGCAGGCTGACTTCACGATCGCGATTGGTGAGTCGCGGTCGCGAAATTTCTCGCGGTAAGGGAAGGCGGTGACTGTAATTTGACTGTCAAAACTTTCTGTTTTCTCTTGGGTTGCTTCCTCACGAAGTTCGCGCCCAAGGGATCCATTTTCGCGGCTGCGAACTATAGTCTCAGGCCGCGATCCTCTCTTTTGATTCAAAATCTGATGTCTCGGCCGAGATCTTCCACGTCCAGGCTGTGATCATTAGTTTCCTACCCATTTCACTACACTTGTGCCATTTTTCGTACCTAATTCACATGTATCGTCTAAAGCACCCTAAAATCACGATATAATCAAATAGGGACGAAATATGGATGCAATCGATGATATTCTTCTAATTATAAACATGATTTTGCACGAAAAATCCTAAATATGAAGGGTAAATAGCACCAAATGTCCTACTTTTTCAACCTAAATTTCTCGAAGAGTAATCGGTGGGAGTTGCTTCAATTTCCCTACTTTTCAACCTTGGTAACTAAAAGTCTAAAACCAACCACGTGTGGTTAAATGTTACATACCTGTCCACAATATCCAAGTGTTTTATAAAAAAATACGCTCGTAATGCCACCTGAAACAAATGCTTGCGTTGCCCCAATATGGAAGACTCAAGGTTCAAAAAGGCGCTAGGCGTAAGCCGGGCGTTGAGCCTTTGCCTAGCGCGCCTAGCTTGCCTAGGCGTAGACTAAGCATGCCTAGGCGTTGTAAGAAAATAGCTATTCACACTACATGACGAATGGAATAATAATCTACAATACTTCCTCACTTCAGTTTAAATGATTAATAACTTACTCAACACTTATTGACAAGAACATAACTTACGAATTCGTAGATTTATAGATCAATAGCTCACAAAGTTATTGTGCTATTGAAAATATTGATATAGAAAATTGATTTAGTAGTTGATGTTAATTTTATCCATTAATATTGACTTCCTAGCTCCATCTATAAATGTTTAGGACAGACTTAGATGTCGCCTTACTCCGTTGAAGTGTTCCAGCATCTAATTAGGCGCTAAACCCCTAGGCGAGGCGTTTTTCCATTGCCTTGCGCCTAGGCATGCCTAAGCGTAAGGTTAAGCGTGCCTTTTTGAACCATGGGAAGACTGCTCTATTTATTTCAGCCACAAGTATCCTTGCTCTTATTTTCTCACACTCTAATCCTGCGTTACCCTCTTCCTCTGTCAACAATTCCTCTTTAGAAAAAAACAAGTCATGAACAAAATTCCAACATCTTCTAGTACAGGTTACCAGGTGAAAATAGGACGTGTAGCAACGACTATAATATTTCTTAGAAACTAAATAACCTAAACTAATTTCTAGAGTCATATTTTTGTAAGGCCTCCGAAAATGTCTCTCCTTTAGACCATCTACTAGTATTACAAGTAAAGCTAATGGGGTTGAGGTGCTCCTAGTGCTATTCCTACTAAACTAACAAAGAGCAGAAAGAATCATAGGTACAAGAAGTAAAGAAAATTTCATAAAAGTAAAGAGAGCAGTAAAGAGTGACTGGTAGGATGTAGGAAACCAGGAAGTAAATGTGTTGCTTTGGATAGTTTCACCTATAGTGAATGACCAAGACTATGACTAACAATATATCTAGTTAAGGCTACCTAGCTTGGATTAATCTTACTTCAAAAGTGTTTGAATAGCATCACCATCCCACTTCGAATATTTTTTTGGTTTCTTTCGTGATAGTGATTAAATGTTAACACATTAACTGATAATTGTCGAAAACATAGTGATATTATGTGATTATTTCTCGATATGTTTGAGACATATAATGTTTGTTTATAGGACAATTAACCTTGGAATGGTTGAAAATACATTATCATTTTGTGTTAAATTTTGGTGTTTTTAGGTGAAGATGAGAAAAATGGCACATGTAGATTTTGGAAGTAGCAGAGGGCGAGTATGAATTGGACTTAAAGCCCAGCAAATCAAAAGGGAGGAGATTTGGGCCGAAATTCTTCTGGACGTCTTTGGGGCATTAATAGGAATTTAATGGTTCAATTTGTCCATTTTGTTCCAAGTATGGGGCGAAGTTTGGGTTGCGGATTGTGTATAATGTAACACCCCCGATGTTTTGATTGAGGTTCGGCAATAACACATGAACAGTGGATTTGATGGTTACGTATGCAACTGCGAATTAGGAATAATAATAATAATTATTATATAAAAAATATATATCAGTACTCGGCCAAAAACGCCGAGCGGCCCACACATTCCAAAAACCCCACACCCCGTCCTTTTCTTTCCCCAGCAACAACCTCCCCACTCCTCAACAAAATCCCATTCCCATTTGTTTTCCCAGCAGCAGCGGAAACCATCCCCGCCACCATCTATTTCCCAGGGGTAGCGCAGCGGAGCGGAAGAAAAAGGGAGGAAGAGGACCCGGCCCCATCCCAGTTCACCGATCCCCAGCGCATGTTCGGTTTCGATGGTAACGATCACGATAGCCCTCGTGATTTAAAATTTGATTCATCGATAGGCTAATCCAAAATTCGTATTAATGTATTATAGCGTTTGCGATGTCATTTAAGGGTTCGAACATCGATCAACGAGGAGATCAACGTCACGGGCCATCCAATCTAGTCCTAGACTCGTTCTAAAGGTAAGAGAACTCGATCCTTTCGTATTAGACCGGTTGTTTTGGTGATTTTTCGTGAGGGTGCAATTCTTGGTTTCTTGCGTTTGACTTTACAAGCTTTTAGTGAAATATTTTAGGTGGTCACTAAAGCTGCACGAAATTTCCAAAAACGTGATTTTAGTGATTTTAATTGTTTCGAGCCTTTGCAGGTGTTTGTTTTTAATTGTAACAATTTTATAAATTGTGAGAGTTCTATAAGATGACTGTGATTTAATTTGGGGATTTTTGAAGAAGAATTACTATTTTTAGAAATTATTAATTAAATAAAAATCATGCAGACGTACTTTAAGGTTTGATAATTTTCCAGGATATATGTTCTCATGATTGAGATGGGAAAATTATTATTTGAATTTTTAAGAAGGTTCAAGTTAGGTGTAAAATTCGTCCAAGACGAAATTAATTAGAAAAGGGGCGGTTTTTGAAGGGATTATTTCTCGAAACTTTTTAAACGAGGTTACGGGATCCTTGGAAAGAGGTTCGAGAATGGTACGTTGAGGAGAGGGTGCTTTGGTAAATTAGAAGGGACTTTAGAGCGAGAAAGGTCGTCCAAAAATGAATTTATAGGTTTTCCCGAGATAGTTGGGCGAAGGAGGGATTTTTTTTAGTAAGGAATTGAGGAGTCATCATTTCAAGGTGAGTGTAAATGGGGTAAAATCTCCATTGAGGTCTTTTAGTCTATGCATTTACTTATAGTAGTTTAGTTAATTTCGTGAGTAACGCGCGCTTATGTGTGTGAGGATCCCACCGCCTTTTGAAGGTGGAGGCACGCGTTGTGCTATGTATGAATGAATGAACGTGTGTATGTGTAATGTATGGTTGATGGTAAAGGAACCCACGGGCGGTTGGGCCACTACTGGACGCGGTAGATGGTCGGATCATTGCTGGACGGCGAGACGAAATGCAACAGTTGATCGTGTTTGTTGGGGTCACTACTGGACGATGAGAGGTAACGCATTAGTTGGCGGGGCATGGGCTGGATGGCAAGACGTAATGCAGTGCCATTGCCAAGTTTGGGTTTGCAACTGGACAGCGAGACGTAACGCGGTTGGCATACTATAGTCGGGACACCGGACGACGAGAGGTACCGCGGTGGTCCCCAGTATTTGGTGTATAAGTTAAATTTATGAGTAAAGAACTTTTATAAGATAATATGGGAGTAAAGATCTTCTATAGACTGTTTTGAGAATAAAGTATATAGGATGACATGAGCTGGAGATCACAGGAACGATACGAGTTGGGGTCTGGAGGAGCGGGCATCACCTGCGAGGTCAAGTTCCTCTTTCTATACAAATAAAGCGACCACCTTGGCCAAAAGAACTTCAATTGGACGTAAACCTCGTGCAACCCTTCTCTACCGCATTTATGGCCCAAAGCCAATCCCTTTCCTCATCGAGGTCGGCGCTCGTGCGTTTGGATGATCACTTGTTACCTTGATCTCATGGAGAAATACAATGTTAACACTTTATACCTAACGAACTAGCGTAGCTGTGGGACTCTCGCTAGTATTGACCTCCTGGACTAGTAAGAACGACTTTTGTCTAAGGCTGGAACCCTAATAATGTGTTTAGTAAGGAATTGCTTAAGATAAAGACCTTAGGAAGTAACAACGAGACTGACCCCTTCTCACTCACTAGGTATAGAGAGGGGAGGAGGACGTGTTCATCACGAGGAGGACAGTCGCACCAGACTTGGAGATGTCATAAGGATCGGGGTAACGAGATAGAATCATTTAATATTCTTGTCTTTATTTCATGTCTTAATGAGTATACTGGGAAACTCAAGCATTGTATTTTATGTTTTGTTTCTTTGGATTGAGGTCGCCCAAGTGTTTAGGACATTTTCCTTGAGAATCTTAAACATTGTCGTTGTTGATTTTCGGTTTTGACTTGTAAACCTGTTTTGGGTTGCTCCGGGTTACCGGTTTTTGGTTCGAGTTATGATTGGGTTTTTCAAAAGGATTGATTGTTTCATTTTGGTATCAGAGCTGACATTCCTCTATTTCTTAGTCTCCAAGGAATACTGGAGTGACAATCTGAGTTTTCAAAAGATTAAGTTTTTAAAGGAAAAGAGGAATTTCAAGAAAAAGGGTTGGCCAACCGATTTGAAAAGGTTTATAGAGTCCCACCAGCCATCACCTGGCTAGAGCTGATGCGGATATTCCGCGAACCTTTTGTGCCCGAGGCCTACCATCTCGGCAAGTAGAGGGAGTTCATATTGATCAAGCACAAGTGGGACAAAGAGGGCATTGCGGAGTATACTTAACGGTTCGAGAAGCTACTGCCCTACGGAGGACCCCAATTCCAAGGAAGGCGGCCTAGCGTGTCCACTATTTAGAGAATATGAAGCCTACCCTTAAGAAGCAGTTGAGTATGCTGATGTGGAATAACAGAGAGGAGATTTATCAAGCGGCTCTCGGGATAGAGAGGGCTTAGGCAATGACACGCTAAAACACAACATCAAACTGCGACCAAGTGTAATCGCAGTCCGGAAATGCAGAATAGTGGCAAGTTCAATTTATCAACCCAGGGTCTATATCTACTGTCTACTCCGTGATTATCTATTATCTAGCAAGACTAAGTTGAGTGAATGTGATTTAAGCTAAAGCAGTAAGAAAGCAGGAAATGGTTCGAAGTTCTTAAGCAGGGGAAGAGTCACTCGGGAATGAGTCCCCCTAGCTCCTTAATTAGGTCAAAGTTGTAATTACCTTTGGTTGATTTACTATTGATCAAACTGTGGAAGATCCGAGAGTAGCTTGGAATCTCTTAAACTAACCAAGCCCTCTCAGACAGACTGCCCGACAGACGACTAGTCTTCACTCGGACAGAACACTGGGGCAATTAACAACAGAACTCCACTACTGGAATTGGATTCCAGTACAAAGCAGTGAATCGACTAACTCTCGTATAATCAATTCACTACTACCGATTGAAGAAGCTCTAACAACCTAATCAAATTCTATATATCTCAGGTTGCAGCAGAAATCAATAAAAGATGATAAGGCTTCAATTGACTCAATCAAAACACTTCAATCGATTATAATCAAGAAGTATCACAAACCAAACATCATTACAATCGATATCCCTAACACATGGAACTAGAGTTCTTCATACCGAAGTGAGAGAGACTTCTACTCCATAGAGAGAGAGGATAACAGAATACAAAGCAGTCATACTCATCAAGATGGGAAGAATCTACTCGGGGATGATAATCTTCACTCCAAGGATGAAATCCAAGCTTGATTGATGAAACCCAGCTCCAAAATCACCTCTAGGGTGTGTTCTTCGCACTTTCTCTCTCTAGGACTCTATTTCTAGCTCTGAAAATCGATTCCCTCTTCAAAGACCCGAAATTGGGTTAAAATAGAATTTCCCAGCCGCCCGCGTGGCATTGCAAAACGTCGCGTTTCACGTAAGTGGCTTCATGTACGCTGCACGACCAAAACCACACAGCCATGTGGAATTTAGGTATGCCCGTGTGAACTCTCTGGGTATTCCACACGGCCAAAAAAGGCCCTTACACGGCCAGTGTGGCTTTGCCTGCGCAAAAGGGGTTCCACACGACCAAGTCACACGGCCGTGTGGAATTTAGCTCTGGCCGTGTGGTTTCCTCAGCTTTTCATCTAACGTACCAACTTCGTCCAATCGACCCCGAACTCGTGCCCAAACCTTCCTTCACGTACTAGGACCTGAAATATCACAAACAAGAACAACCTAGCGTGAAATCGGCCTAAAACACGAGAGACGAGGCTCAAACAGTATAAGAATGGTGGACAAAAACATGTGTAAATATCAAGTCATCAAATTCCCCCACACTTAACCCTTTGCTTGTCCCCAAGAAAACATGACTCAAACCAATGCAGCTCTCCAGACCTCTATAGCAACATGCACCCCCGATCATCGTTAGAGGATTTCCTAGATCATTTAACAGCTTATGAGGTCAACCGACGCACAAGACACCTCCTAGCTTTTTCGGCGAGAACTTTAGTCTCGAGTCGGCATCATGACAAACAGTGATCAGAGGACAAATGAATCATGGAAGAAGGGACTCTCAAATACAGAAATATCATGGACTCACTTTTTTTAAGGTGCTCTATTTTCTTCTTGAATATGGTTGGAACCCTTCTTTTTTTTTTCTTTGTTTTGTTGTTTATTTTTTTTCAAGGGTCCCAACCTGTTATTTCCAAAAAACGGGGCTCCCACCTATTAAAGGTTTTGAGGGAGCCCGGCTCTTACTGCCCATGCCAGGAGTAGCTCTTACCGGCCATGCCGGGAGCAGATGCCTCGGGCCTCGTGCGGGGGAAAGAAATATGAGGGGGCTGGAGGTAGTAGGTGGAAATTAGGAACATATTCCCATCTCCCCTTACACACTTTCACCCTTTTCGCACGGGAGACGTTATTTTAAAAGCATAATTTAGAGCAACTTTTTCTCCCCCCAAAACATGATACAGGAGTCCATGACAGGTAGAGAGTCCACAATACCACAGAATTCAAGGGTCCTAAGGTCACTAATTCACACAATCAACCAACACAATATGAAGAAGAAATGAGATTTCTTAAATCCATCAACATCCTCCATAGTGCTACACTACCTCCCTAGGTTGCATATCACCATAAAGACTGTCAATTCAAAGCATAGTGAGCAGGATATTGCAGGGAATAGTACTTGTATCCCTCAATTCATCAAATTGGACAGTGGACTAGGCTCCAAGCACACAAACTCATATAGCAGTCAAAGAAAGATAAACAACCCCACACACTTAAGCATGACATTGCCCTCAATGGAGAAGAGGGAAAGATGAGGGGAACGATGTTACCGGGAAAATGAAATGCCAGGGGACTGGACATGAGACCATTCAGCAAAACACACTGGGTGATAGAAACCATAGTTCTAAGTGGACAAACCGAAAAACAAACGAAAGGAAAACAAACCTTGGTATGGTTGCCTCCCCACAAGGGCTTCTTTACCGTCTTTTAGCTGGACTCCAATAGGGTGGATGCTCAGTGCGGTGTAGGAACAGGTGCCTCCAAGAGCGGATGCACACGACGGGTGTGACCACCAGCATTCGTCAACTCGACCTGGCCATCCGACGGGATGCAAGCTAGTGAATACTCGGATGGCCAAGGCAATCGTGGCTCAGGAGTCGGGACCAGCTCATATTGGTCTCCAGCTTTCTTTCGAGCAGGCTTAGCTACATGCAGTTTCGATCGCCACTCATCCTTAATCTGATCTGTTGGTAACTGAGAAACCGGGGGCGGTGGAGGAGGAGGGGGTGCAAAGTCCTGCAAAACGGGAGACCCAGAAGGATACACGACCGCCTTGTGTACCTGGTGAGAAAAGCATGCACAGGCGAGATAACATTCATATTATTAGCAATGGAAAATGTTATCTGCTCCTCACCATCTCTCAAAGTCAGGGTCCCATCATGCACATTTATGAGAGCCTTGGCGGTGGCTAGGAAAGGTTTACCTAGAATAAGGGGCACTACTGCGTCTTCATTGATGTCCAAGACAACAAAATCCACAGGATAAAAGAATCTGCCAACCTTAACTAGAAGGTCTTCCACTATGCCCCTAGGATGAACTACAGATAAGCTAATTGAATACTCATCCTAGTTGCACTGGGTTCACCTAGGCCTAGTTTCTTGAACAATTTATATGGTATAACATTGATACTAGCGCCTAAATCCACCAAGGACCTCTCTACATGCAAATTACCAATAGAGCACGGGATAGTAAAACTACCCGGGTCCTTCCGCTTCTGCGGGAGCTTGTTCTGCAAGATGATCAAACACTCCTCGCTGAGCTCCACAGTGGCCAGCTCGCTCAGCTTCTGCTTTTTCGAGAGAATATCCTTCAGGAACTTCGCATACTTAGGCATTTGAGATAGTGCCTCCAGGAAGGGCACTTGAAAATTCAGCTTCCTAAGCATGGACATGAAGTTCCCGAACTCTGCCTCTAGCCGGTCTTTGTGCAACCGAGTAGGGAAGGGAAGTTGAGGGACATACTCCTTCACCACTGGTTGCGGCTTAGGAG